CTTAACATGATTACATAGTATGTTATGAGAGAAACAGATAGGATACTAGTTACTTAATCATAACTAGGATTGGCTAAAAGGTTTTGCTCGCAGGAGGGGCATTGCAACGCCCTCGAACTGCACAGCCGGCTTTGCTGTCCCGGCCCCAGAAGAAGTAAGCCAGCTGGGCCATGTGATGGGGTGAGGGCTGGTGCTTATATTTAAGGAGGCACCAGTCCTCCATTTGGCCTCTTTCGCTTTTGGCACAGAGACAGAAAGACGCATTTGGCTGGCTGTTTCGCAAGGCTTGGATGACGGTTTGAGGGGGGTAGCCTTGAGCTCCCTCCCTGTTACTTATTTAATTTAATCCAGTGGCTCCGTGGGGGATTGTATTGATTTAATTGTAGATTGGGACCAGGAGGCATTAGCTGTTTAAGGAGGATGAGGAGGGTAGCATGCAGCAGGCACCCACCTGCCTGCCCTCTTTCAAGTGTGCTTTTGGGTCGCCTTTTTTAGGGGCCGGATAGGAATTTTTGACCTCTACCCTGATTGGCTTTTGGATGGAGGGATTTTTCGCCTATCCCACACTGGAGAAGGGTTGTTGGCATTTGATGGTGGTTATCCTCGGTCACACTGGCAGGTAGTGCGGGAAAAACTGGTTGTCTCCATGTGTCCCTTTGATAATTATGCTAAGCCAACAGCGCATCGGACCTTCCGAATTTTTTTTTACCTTGACTTTGAGAAATCAACATCAAGAGTGGTCTCTTTTCATGGTTTCTTGGTGAGAGAGAAAGATTGTGAGATTCACATCACTGGTTTAGTTGCTCATATGGTCTATTCTTAAGGAAAAAAGAGCAGTGAACCCCAAACCTCCTTCCTTCTTAAAATGGGGCAGTATCGTGGATGACTCAAGACATTATTCTTCTTGAGGCAGAAGAATAAACAAAACCCCTCTCAACCCAAGTCAAGAAGCATAATGCCCAAAGCCAGCTACATAATTTTATCATATGAGGCAAAAAAAGTCCCGGAAGCACCATTCGTTATCCCTGGATGTAAAAAATATACTAATAACGAATACAGTAGCTACGAATTTCCTGACTTTTGGAAACATGTGCCTTATTCTGGCAACAGCTCTGGACCTGTATAACATCAACCATGGCTAGTCCACAGTGCATATGCTAGAATGGAGGCCAGCAATGCCATGAGTGAAGCCAAGGAGTTGCCATAGCTAGCATGGGTCAGCAGATGGATAGAACCAGCCCAAATTTATGCTACCAGAAGCCACATTTACTGAGCCATGCTACAGCTGCTTTTGGACTTGCACTAAGTAGTGAAACATGAGTAATGACACTCATATTGGAACTTTAGAAGATTCAGCTGTGTTAGTCTCTGCTAGCACATCAGGCTGAAATAAAATGAAAAGAAATAATAAATAAGGAAGACGAAAACACAGTGGCACCTTAAAAACTTAACTGCTATATTTTAATTAATTGATTTATTTTATTTAAAACATTTCTACCATGCCCTTCTCCTTTAAAAGGATTCAGGGCGGCTTATATCCTTGAAAGGCAATATTTAAAGCTAAGAACAGTGAGTACAAAGAGGTATAAATGTGAGCCTTTGTGAACATGTACACATCATATTGGAACTAGACATATCTCACCAGAGTTGTATTAATATATTGAAGTACAAATATCTATATTTATGCAGGAACCTATTTTGTTCCTTAAAGAAAGCCAAAGTGGAGCTGTGCGTTCCATGAGGTCTATAATGTGCATTTTGAAATGCCTGGGTGCATTGGACTGAGTCAAACCCATGACGATTATGAGGTTTGTGGTGTGCCTGTTTATAATTACAGTCTTCTTTGGTTCTATGAAAATTCTCAGACATTGAAGAGCTCATAAGACCAGAGCTATTGAGGAGTTGGTTTGAAGAACAATTGGTTACAATTATAGTTATGCTGCCCCCAAATAGATAAGAACTAGAGATGGGCTCAAATTAAAAAAGAAATCACCAAATTCATTCAAAAAAAATCACTAATTTGTCAATTTGTATTCATATGAATCAATGCCCCCCCAAAAGAATACAAATCAACAATTTTTAGTGATTTTTGATTCATCGATTTTTTGGGCTATAAAACACACACACACCAGCACCTAGAAACAACAACATTCAGGAAAACTTTCCCTGACTCTCCTCTACAATCCCTCCAAGTCTGGTGAAGATTGGGTTTCCCCAAGCCAGCTGCTAAAGGGCACTTTCCTGGGGAGCCAAATTTGTGGGTGTATAATGTGGCTGTCTGAAACCCAATCTTCACCAAACTTGGTGGGATTGTAGAGGACAGCCAGGACAAGCTTTTATGTGGTTTTGGTGTCTCTAGGTGCCTGGAGGCGGCTCTTTGTGGGTGTATAACTCGGATGGCCAAAATCCAAACTTCACCAATCATGCAGGGCTTGTAGAAGAGAGTCTGGGGAAAGCTTCTCTGTGACTTTGGTGTCTCTAAGTCTTGGGGGTGGCGTTTTATGGGGTTTTAAAATTAAACACAAATTTACAAATCGATTTATCAATTTATCAGTCAAAATCATAAATTTGTAATTTGTGATTCATTGACCTTGGGAGAGTGACAACAGACAAAAGAAAATATTTCTTTACCCAGCATGTTCTTAGTCTGTGGAACTCCTTGCCACAGGATGAGGTGATGGCATCTGGCCTACATGCCTTTAAAAGAGGATTGGACAGATTTCTGGAGGAAAAGTCCATCACAGGTTACGATCCATGATGGGGATTGATGGGGATGTAGAATCTCCAGGCTTTAAAAGGAAGGTACCTCAAAATGCCATATGCAGGGGAGGGGTAGCAGAGGAGACAGTTATCTAGTTGGGCCACTGCGAGATACAGGAAACTGGACTAGATGGGCCTTTGGCCTGATCCAGCAGGGTTCTTCTTATGTTCTTATGATTTTGTACAGGCTCTGAGGGTACATACTAATGAGTGCAGCAGGTATAAGACTGTAATGTAAATGTTCTTCTTTGAGCACTGTCAACTTATCGTCTGAGCAGACTGAGATTACTCCTTTGCTCAGACCATAAATTGCTGCTGCCCCTGGATTATAGCTAGATAAAGGTACTGACCATCCCTGGTGGCTTGTGGACCCAAAGAGGTGAGGGATACTACAAAGTCCAATCATGCAAGTGGGAGAGAATGTGGCTTCTTCCCACAGCGCGCACAAACTATTCGTATCTACAACTGACTACCAAGATCCTTTGCCGTTTTTGAGCCCCATGTGAAGGTATTTCTTAAGAAGACATATGAAATAATGTTGTTCTAGAATCTGTCTTTCGATTTCCTGGAGGTTTTTCTCCTCCATGAAAGTGTATTCTGTTTTGTTTTGTTTTGTTTTGTTTTGTTTTTTGCCTTCCTTTCAAGGCCATAGAGCATTCTTTGTCAGTATTTTGAATCTGCCTTACTATTCAGAGGTGGAAGAAGGGGGTATTTATTTTAACCTCTATTCTAGTGCTCTGCAGCCTTTCCTGATGCTTACACATCCTGAGTTGCAACAGGTCCAAGACAGAAATTAACTAGGATGCCATTCCCTCAGTCTTAATTAAATCATGGGAATCTGAGGAGGCTGGAGATCAGTAGACAGATGATTGTACACTGAAAAACACCTCACACTCCTCTTAGCTACCTCATAACCAAGGTAAGAGTAAAAGTCCTGGGTCAACCCATCAACATTTTATTGAAGTCATATTTTCCAATGACTTTTTAAAAAATAAAAATAAATCAAATGGTCATAACAGATGGCAGAAAATATTTTCAGTGCATTACTAAAGTGCAGTTCTGGGATCGCAGTTTTTTGTGATTGTGATTTTAGTCCTCCTTCTATATACCAGTTCCTCTGAGAGTGACGGCATGCATATCAGCAAAGCCTGTGAGCAGTCCTTGAGCTTATAACTTTAACACCTGACTGCTGCATATAAATTTTAAAAAGCATTTTTGTTGTTTTTAATAAAGCAGAGCAAAAACTAAGGTAGGAACGAATGGCTATTACAAAAGAACGTCTAGTAGAAAAAACTATTTTTGACTTCATTACTGCAGCTCTCCATCAATGTTAATTTGCAAGGAAGACCCCAGGGATGAATAGATCGCTGCATTAAAAGCTAGGTGGCTTCATATAGAATATAGGTAGCAATTAAGGGCCCAGTTCCAAGTCTGGGGTGGGCCTGGGCAGGCTGCCATTGATAGAGGCCCCCAAAGTCTGCAGCTCTGACATGGTAATAGTCCAAGGGCACAGCGGCTGGTTGGCTAAAGTCAGCACCCAGCTGCTGCTATGTTTAATCACCTAGAGCACTGCAGAAGATAATGTACTGTGCTGTCAGGAGCTCTGAGCAACTCACTACAATGGTGCTATTGAGTATATCCATCCTCACATATACTAGACTGGCGGCTGCGACAGTAGGCATGGCATGAAGGGACTCACAAGACAGCAACAGGCAATGTGTTGGTCCCTATGGACAGTGCTGACGTGTGTGGGCTCTAGCAAATCTTTCAGTCGTGTGTCCTAGGTGTTGGCACCAGGCCTGGGTTGTTCATCTGTAGATAGCTACTGATGACAACCCATTCGGTGGTGTGTTCTTAGTATTTAGCCCAGATCAGATCTTCTTCAGAATAAAGGTGCAGAGAGGCAGGAAATGGAATCCTAAGCTGGATAAAAGCAATAGATAAAACAACTCATCTCTCTAAATCAGGAAATTAACAATGAGGCCACAGCCAGAAATTACAATAATCCAACATAGTTTATTACAAACATTGAAAAAATATGCATATAGGCATCAAATAGGACAAAGAACTATTTATTTAGCGATATGGAGCCAAATATAAGAGATGGGTGGCACAAGTGGCTTGATAAGAATGGGAGGGGGCTGTTTGAGATGGTGATCAGGACTTATATGCAGATAACTAGACCTCCAGGATACTGGCAAATTGTTGGGATGCAGAGAAAGGAGAAAATGACTTCCAACCATATGTTGGAAGTGACAGCAACGTTCATAGTGTAGGAAAAGGCGGAATGGAAAAGTGCCAAGTGCATCTGATGCATAGTTTCCTAATTTATATATGCATAAATATACATATTCCTAAGAGTATTACTGGTGGCAGTAAACACACAGAACTTCAAACAGAGCCTTCCTTCTTTAGGTCTTTTGGTGAGTCCTAGATAACCTGTAGCAATACAATAAACAGTAAGAGTAAGCTTGATACAGTAGAGTTAAGGACAGGGCAGAGACAATGAACCAGGGACAAAGAATCTCAGACTTTTACCTGAAAGTACAGCCCTCCCTTGTTGGGCGCACTAAAAAATGTGAGCTCATGTACATCTGCATTATGTTCAAGCTTTTATTTGGCCTGTCTTACCCAGACATGTTTTTAGAAATGAGATGCTGAATTAGACTCAAGATAACAATGAGAACAAACTTCTTTTTATCACACCTCCTGGGCACAAACTACTCCTTTTCCAAGCTGGCACTCTGGCGAGTGTTCTCATTGGCCCAGTAAGATAGGGTTGGCTGTCCTTTATGAATTCAGAAGAATTCAGAGGAAAACAAAGTCTGTAGCTATCTTCTTCATTTTAAAGACAGATACAGTATAAAGAGAAAAATGGCAGCCACCTAATAGCAATAGCACTGAATTCTTGCCACTTATAGACCACTGAAGTCTATTTGTCACATGATAATAATTTGTCTACTTTTCCGGCATGTGGTTGTATCACTTTACACTTACAGAAATCTTACAGTCAGGTTCAATTTCTGTGTAATCTGTGCAGTAAAACTATAACCTAAAGAGCCTTCTGTCACTAGTGCCTTAATTCATCACTGTAGAAAGCACCCTTAAAACATGTTCATCTTCATCCCTTTTTACAAGGTAAAACCTACTGAGTTGGACATTTCTTTAAGGACATTTTTGGCTTCTTCTGTATACTGCTTCAAGAACTGTTGAGCCAAACACATTTCCTGTATGTTTTCTTGCAGGTTTCCCTCGACCCGGATCTGGTCTAGGTATTCAGGATTTGCAGCTTTTACTTTCTCCATCAACTTGTCCTGGCTTTGAAGCACAGACTGGATCATTTCCTGGAGTTTAGTTTCTACACTGATGACTCCTAAGGTGGCACGGTTCAGTTCCCCCACCTGCTGCTGAGCCCACTTCAGTTTCTCAGGAACGTCCTTCTCTCTCATGGCCAGCCAGAATCTGTATCCCTCCATCTGCACCTGCACATTGCAAGCACCTGAAAGAGAAAACGGTGATTAAGCCGAATTTGGTGAGAGTCCAAAGGCAAAAGCTAAAATTTGTTTTAGTCCTAAGAAGCTTTAAATCTATGGAGGAAGAAAGCTTCTAATGGTAACTAGCTGTCTAAGATATCACAGTGCCATGAAATCTGATTATTTCCACATTACTTATCAGTGACACAGTTGTATACATACAGAAATGTCTGTGAGAGAGAGGTAATGCAGGCATTTTGCAATATTAAGCCAAGATTACTTATGCCATTTGTTTGTAGGAAACAAATCCCTGGCATAGCCTCACTGGCATGCTTTCCAGTGAAGTCACTCTGGTGAACTTGACCCATAATCCCATGGCTTTTTTTCCTGCTACTCATTCAGTACGGAACTATCAGATATTGGATAAATCTCTTTAACAAATTCTCATCTAATCTTGTTTCACATTGCTCTCTTGTCTGCCTTATTGTTGGTTTCACAAATACTTGGCTCTTCTTTCTGAGGAAGGCATTGTTGGGCTTTTGGCATTAGCTTCGAAGGCTGGCATTACATAGGAAGGATTGGATTTAAAGCCACGTGAAGAGGTAATACACAGGAAGGCAAAATCTAAAGACTGAGGAGAGGCCCTCTGGATGCTGCATTCCATGGCAAAGTGCAATCCAATCAGTGGGTTATTCAATGAAACACAAAAGTCTACAGGCTTTAGCAGCATCTTGATAACTTACTGAAGCAGAAAACCAGGAAACCAAATTAATTAATCCAGCCAACTTTCTCCTGAGAAGGAGACTTAAAGCAACATATCCACCTATCTGATTCCCTCGCTCTAAGCGGACGATAACATAGGTGGTAGTATCTCAAGCTAAATGCTAACAGAAGAATACATGGTAAGCTTCACATAGTGTCAGTTTTTACCTCATTGTCCCCATCCCATGCACACTAAATTGCAGATGCAGCAAGTTTATGGACTGAGTTCCCTAAATTTTAATTGTGAGTTAGACGTTCTCATCGTTGTCATCTTAGTATCGTAAAGCGGGAAGGACCCTATGGCACAGTGGGGAATCGAACTCCCAACCTCTGGTTCTGCAGCCAGATACCTAAACCATGGAGCTATCCAGCAGTTCTTTGCTGTGTGTACTTCCATCTTTCATTGCTACCATATACAGAAAAGTTTTCAAATTCCACATGAATAGAGTTCAAAGTGCACCACAGAGAAAGTGAGGCCACAAAACAGACAGTTAAAAGAACAGCAACTTATCTTTATTTCACCTCAATGTATAAGCTGGTTTTACACAAGATAATAGGGATGCACAACAAATAAATAAATTTTATTTCGTTTTGGGTCCTTTTGGGAAGTGCTTTTAAATTTTGTATATTTCATGTATGGTCCTTTCATTTTACACAAATGGGAAAACTTCTTTTAGATTTCCTATTTGTATCTCCCCATTCATGTTTTCTGGCACTCCAAAACTATTTGTATCTCCCCATTCATGCCACTGGCAATGGTGCGGCTAAAAAATATTGTAAATAAATAAACAAATGTTTTCTGGCACTCCAAAAACCCCAATGAACCCTTAAAAACTATTGCAAATAAACAGAGGCAAGGCAACAATCTACTCCAAAGTACATGAGAAAGAAAAATAATCACCAGACCCATGCAGACACTAATTTATACTATCATATTCATCAACTCCAATGCACACCACAACAATAGGCCAAAAAAAGAGAAGATACTCCTCTAGGTAAGTTATTCCCACCACCAGTCCTATGCGCAGAACAAAAAATAATTTCGCCACCCAATAGAAAAAAGGCAAACAAACAGTCAGGCACATACTGGCTGTGTGGCACATAGAAACACCCACTTACCAATCTGACCACCACCAGCAGCAGCAACTAACTGACCAAGAACAACAATAGATGAATGCCAACCAACAACAACCACCCACATAGCTCAGTGACCTGCTCAGCTCCATAGAAACAAACAAAACAGTTCCCAATCCACCCGCCCCAAAGTATACACCTTTTTTAAAAAATAATAAAGCCTGACAGGTTAGGCAGCAGCCGAAAGAACCCAATAAAATAAAATAAAATAAATCAAAACTAAAGCTAAAGAAATTGGGGGGGGGCTTAAAATAAACCCAAGGAGACACAGTGGCACAGGTAAGCTGCCTGGCAGCAGCAAAAATAATCCAGATAAATTGTGAAAAATCTCTCCAAAATCCAGAAAAAAAGGCGAAAATGAAAAAGATCCAAGATAGAAGCACAGCAGCCAGGAAAAATCGAAAATGGTAGGCACGAGACACTCAGCACCCAGTAATCCCACAAGGAATAAATCCTGACTGCATTCCAGGCTATTCTGCAGATTCAAAATTCCCATTTCCCCCAAATGTTCTGGTTGGTTTCTGATTGCACTTTCTAGTCTTTTTGATGAAAAATTTCTCAGGCAATTTGACTGAGAAAATGTGAAAGAAAGGGCATTGAAAGATTACCATACATGAAAGAGGGAACGTGAAAGAAACACAAAACTTTGTAAACCTGAATGATTTATGTTCAGAGTCTTTTTTTTTTTTTTGCAATTTTCTGAAAGAAAATGAATTACACTCTTTTGTTCACACATGAAAGGCAATACCCTATGAGACTGGAATATCATACATTTTAACCAAATACAGGCCAGAATCCTACTGGTGTTCATGTAAGGTTTCTTTGACATACTCAGTGAAGTCTGTAAATCTGCTGCCATCAACAGCGAATCCTTCTTGGTGGGAATTAGTCCTCCCAGTACTACGTCAGATTTTGGTCCTCCAGCAGCCATGTTATCAAGCACAACCATAGACCCAATGTCAGCCCTTCAGGAGGCAGTAAAGTCTTGCCATTCAGGGACACCACAGAACAACAGCTCTCAGTCACTAAGAAGCAAATATTTCTCTGCTTCACTTGTTCCTTCATCTGCATAGCTCTACCTCAGCTTTCTGTTTCTGGCCACACTAAAGAGTGAAACAGAAGCTTCCACATTCTCTAATTTGCACACTAGCTCTTTGATATTATTTGCTTGTCAACTTACGGTGCTCCTGCTGTATCTTCTCTATGCATACAGACAGACTGCTTGCAGGTGAGCAGCAAAAGGTCTCTTTCAGGCCCTGGATGGCTTCCCGGAGAGCCAAGCAATCACCTTGCTGCTTGTTAAATGTCTCTGCAATGTTGGTGAACAGGGTGTCAATCTTAGGCATGTTGACCCGTTTCATTTTGAGGGGTTTCTCTTTGTTAATGTGAGCTAAAAAGATGGAAGCCAACAGAAACCTGCCTGTTAGTGATTGAGCAAGGGAACAAAAGAAGAGAAGGAAACACAGAATACCACCACTTTTTGTGTACTGCAACTGAAACAATAAATAAATAAGAAGAATAAATCCAAGACATAAATATTATTTTCAAAGGCCCGTCTTACAATTTTCTCTTCAATGAAACAGATTTCTTTGTTATAGACTGCACCACTTGGTCTGTAATTTTATAGACACTTAAAGTAAATTCTTTTGTATTCACTGGAACCTATGTCAGAGGAGACATGCATGTAACAAATGTAAAGCTTCACATTTGTTTCTTGGCTTGGGCTGATGAATCTGACAAAGCTACACCCTTGCCTGGCAGTGTAGCACTGATGCTACTTGAAATTATTGTAACAAGTCTTGGTATTTATGTAGTGTCTTCAAAGGTAAGGGTAATGATCATACTTGTGCTGTGTATTACTTGACCAGAGAAAATGAGGAATAGGGATTGGTCTATTCAGCCTATACAATATTGTATTGATTAGATCAGGATGTCTGGTTCTACACAGGTCAAATATGTTGGGCTGAATGAACCATTAGTCTAAACAAGTTGGGCAGCCCTTCTTGCACAGAGCAATGACTTTTGTAAGTTGAAATTGTCAAATATGTGCCAAGAAATGTCGGTGCCCAGTTGCCATTAATTTTAATGGAAACTGGCACTCCAAATCCCTTAAATCAGCTTTGAAAAATCACAGCCATCATATCCAGAAAGTAGTTTCATCAGAATAAGCACAGGAGCCATAATTAAACCTTGAATTATTCAACTAAAAGTCATGCCACTAGTTCCATGACAACACGGTTTTGACTAGCGTTTATTTTTCAAACCTGCAGAACCTAATTGCATCTTTCCAGGCAATGGAATACATGATCTCTTCACTGGTACTATTTCCAGCAGATGTCACAGACACAAGAAAAGAAAAGAAAAACAAGGATTGAAAAAAATCTAGCTTGGTCTCAGTATGCCTCTCAACTGCCAAACTAATTCAGAGAGCATTTAAAAAGTATCTCATTTTGGGACATGGGACAAATGTCCTTTTTGCTTTGACAAAACAGGAGGGAATAGCATTCAATTCTGCACCAATTTTGGAGAAGGATCTGGTCTTCTTTTCAGAAATGACCATATAAATCTTAATGATCTCAGCTGGACGATACAGTTGGTTCAAACGTTGTTAAAAATCTGCCAAATGGTGTTATGGAAAAGAAAGAACAAGCAATATTTTAGGGGACATATTTGGAAACGTCAAAGTTGTAGGTTATATTAAGAAGTTTCAAATTCCAAATTTGGGCAGTACCTTTATTAGGATCAAATTAAGAGTCACGGTAGAGTATACAAGCTTCCAACATCTTCAGAACAGAAGACTAGCTGGTGCAAAACATAAGGGATGAGAGAAGAACTTAAAAAGTGGGGGAAAAATCTATCCCCAGAACCAAACTAGGCCAGATGATATAGCTATAAAAGGTTAAATTCAGTGTTGGCCCACAAAAGCATAGACTCATTGACTCTACATATGCACTGACTTAATGCTCTCTTCATTTAGGTCTTATCTGTTTGGAGCTAATAATTAGATTTTTAATCCAATGTAAATTTAGAAACTACATTTTAGATCCACTTGGTTGCAGACTAAAAGCAAGAACAGACATTATAGAAAGCCCATCAAGAAAGCTAAAAGATTTATCAAGGTTGCAGATGGATCACTGAGGTAGTCTTTTGGGTTTGTGAAATCAGGCTCCAATACTTATGTTCTGAAGGCCAAGCACCAAACAATGCAAGCTAATTTGGAGACTCCTGGAGATGAGAAGTGCACCTGCTGTGACATTCAAATGCCTTCATTAGTTAAGGATTTTCTTCTTTCAATTATGGACGATCTATAACATCTGTTTTTAGTTCTTAATAAATGGCTTAGTGATAAGTGCTGTTGTTATCAGATTACATCCATGATTGCTTACTTAATCTTTCTGTACATTTCATTAGACGCTGTAGCATGCGAAATCTTGGATCTTTTTTCTGAAAATCCCAGGTTAATTTTACTACGCATATTTTCTATTCCTCTTCTTTGTTTCTGGCCTGGGGATTCGTGGACAGTGCTATTTAACTATGATGTAGTGTATAAAAAGAGAAAAAGGATGGCCTGAAGGTGTGGATGCCTTTTGGACTACAGAGACCATCATCTGGCTTCATTAGGAATAAGCTTTGTCATCTCTTTTGTTGTAATTTTTAATGACTCCTTGAGAGATATTCTCTTATTCATTTGCTTTCATTCTTAGCTGTCCTCTTCCTCCAATGTTGCCCTGTTCAGCATATGATCCCTGATTGGTTGGGATCACCCACATGACTGATCCAAGATGAGGAAGAAATACCCGCTAGGAGTGGGAAATGGCACCAGTCAGAATTGAAAGAAAGGCCAATACTCATTCACATAGTTAAGTAATTATTTATTTGAAAAGAAAAGAAAAGAGAGGTGTGGGAGAAGTAAGGAAAAAAGTTTGCTCTTTCAGAATGGCTTGTTTCTACCAGAAAACTGGAACAACAAAATTCAGCTACATAATATCACTGAAATTAATTGTAATACAAAAAGAGAAAAAATCATGATTTGGAGTTTACCCCTTTCGATGCCTTGATGAGATTGGCTTGACCACTGTGTATTGAGAGGTTCTCTCTGTAAACAGAGAAAGGTATTTATAAATAAATGCATTATATTTGATACTTTGAAATAACTATTGATTGACTGATTGATTGATTTGATTTGATTTGATTTGTATCTTGCCCATCTGGTCTATACGACCACTCTAGGCAGAGAGTTTCAAACAATTAGTAATTCACACGTAGTTCCTTTTTTTATAATAACAAACATCTATCTACAGGAAATTATGTTTGTAACTTAAATGGGGATAACAACCTCATGCCATCACTTCTGTTGTGGCAGGTACATTTTTAGTTGTTTTAATAGGTATTGAAGTGTGGCCTCAATGAGTGATGTGGAGGAAAAATGTGACGAGATGGATGGACTGTGTCATTGAAGCTGCCAACATGAATTTGACCAAACTCCAGGAGGCAGTGGAAGACAGGAGGGCCTGGTGTGCTCTGGTCCATGGGGTCACGAAGAGTCAGACACGACTTAACCATTAAATAACAACTAAAGTCACACTAGTGTAGGCCCAATGAATCAGTGTGGAGTCAACACCTCTGTAAGTTCCACTGATTCAAATGGGCCTAATATAGATGCAAATTGCCTGAGCACAGTAAGTCACAACCAGAGCAGGTCCATTTGAATCAATGGAATATACAGAAAAGTTCCCTTACCCTTATCTCCACTGATTCAATGTACTTACTGTAGTGCACCTCACTATTTTAAGCAACAGAATTTCAGCCTATATGTACTATGAACAACTTTTTGTCTGAATCTACTACCATTCAGTACACCAGTTGCCTGTAAGCTTTGTCCTCTCAGATTTCCAGAATAATGAGATGAGACACAGAATTGGTTCAACTAGAGACTCAACTTTATAAAACATTAAATTGTATCACCCAACTCGTGCAGAGGGGCCTACCATAGTGCAGAAACCTCAGTCAGGATCTGGGGATCCCTTCTGACCTTCCTAGCCTGCCACTCCTCACAACACTTGTGACACCCAAGGGTCATAAAGGGACACAGAGTCCTTGAGATAGCTGTTCAGGGTTTTATAAGTTGAAACCAGCACTTTGAATTGTGCCTGGGAATGGATCCAAAGACAGTGGTGTGTGTGTGTGTGTGTGTGTGTGTGTGTGTGTGTGTGTGTGTGTGTGTGTGTGTGTGTGTG